AATATATCACTGTTTTGTCGAAACGGTTCGAAACAATGCCGTTTCGACTAAAACGGTCCGAAACAGTACCGTTTCGATCGAAACGGTCCGAAACAGTACCGTTTCGACCGAAACACTGGAATTTTGTAATTCAACTACTGTTTCGTTTCGGAGTGTTGAAATTCCGAAACGTTTCGGACGTTTCGGACGTGTCGACACGACATTTTGATCCTTGTCTGCAGAGAATATTCAATTCTTATTCATAATCTCTATAAAAAAAATAGTTGGGATTGCACCATTATTATTTATAGGTCAAGTTCCCTACCAAAATAAAAATTATTCTCCTACTAAAATTCTAAAAGAGTTTTATAATCAAACTCTTAAACTTCTATACTACTAAAATTCTATAACAATTTTTTAGTCAAACTCTAATTAATATTTCAAACAGATATTTCCTAACTAATATAATAATACTAAAACAAATAATAAAATTCTAAAACAAATAATAAAATTCAATTTTTCAATTTAAACTCATCCAATTTCTTTTCGATTTCTATCAATTCTCCCCAGCTGAAAGAACTCTTATAGCAAAAATACTCTTAAGAGAATTGACATCAGATGGTGAAACACGTGTTCAAATTTAATAGCATAGAAGTAAGATCTCCCTTCAATGACATAATATAGGATATCCCTACGGGAGGAATCTATATCTCGAATTTTCATAACCTTCATACTTTGTTCCGGATAAAAGGATGGTGATGATATTGACAAAAAAGTAGCAACCCCATCTAAACAAATCACGCTTGAAACTTGTTCAACTTCATTTGTAATTAACTTATCAAAAACAATTGTTGTAGGATGACTATAAGTAAAACTTTTAGGCTCATCAATATTGAATGACTTCGGTTTATTGCCATTCAATCAGATTGAAACTTGTAATGGTGGAATTTGTGGTGGTGGAACTTATGGTATACTTGTAGGGCTGTGGTCAACAACTTTTTGATTGACAGTTGAAGAGACAAAGTTAAAATCTTCACTTGTTTTGGTTTCATAAACTGTAGCGAGCACAAGTTCTCTTAGTGAATTGATGAATGCTTAAATTGTATCTAGTCTAGTATTCATGGCCTTTTGTGAATTATCATGTTCTTAGGATAAAGCCTCCACTTTTGCATTTAACTTAGGGTTAGAGACCATATTGATTGGAAGAGAGTTTTAAGAATTTTTTTTGAAAATTCTATGGTCAATCTATGATTTCAGAGGCAAAACTATAATTTATGAAACTTTAGAGGCCAAACTATAATTTCAAAAATTTTTGGGAGTGAAAGTGTAATTTTAATGGTGTGTTGGCTCAGATAGTGGACTAATTGGGATGTTCTAATATATATNACTTTAGAGGCCAAACTATAATTTCAAAAATTTTTGGGAGTGAAAGTGTAATTTTAGTGGTGTGTTGGCTCAGATAGTGGACTAATTGGGATGTTCTAATATATATTTTTTAACTAAAAACAATCAAGTCAAGTTGGGTTAAGCTTTGTGACCTAGCAAACTAGAAGTCTTCTTCATGTCAACTTGGTCAAACCCTACGAACTACTACAACCAATATCGATGTATAGTCAAAATGAAACCTGATATACTATGTAGCGACCCAAATCTACTGTAATATGCCCAAAAATTGTCGATAATAGTCGAAAATGATGACAGAAGACAGAGTTGTAATGGCATGTTGGGGTCACCACAAAACAGTGGTAACACTAATGAAAAACCAGGAAACTGATGAACAGTGACAAAGGGCACGTCTAATGACCAATTGAGCACAATGAAAAAATAGCAGTGACAATGGATCAAAGTTCGNCCCAAAAATTGTCGATAATAGTCGAAAATGATGACAGAAGACAGAGTTGTAATGGCCTGTTGGGGTCACCACAAAACAGTGGTAACACTAATGAAAAACCAAGAAACTGATGAACAGTGGCAAAGGGCACGTCTAATGACCAATTGAGCACAATGAAAAAATAGCAGTGACAATGGATCAAAGTTGGGCTCTGATATCAAATTGATGTAGGACGAAAAGGAATAGAAATCAGAAAATAGAAAGAGAAGAAGAAAGAAAGGGGTGGAAGGGATTTACCTCATCCTCGCAAGGAATCGGTAAAGAAACATACAAATTTCAGTAGAGAAAACTAAATTCTTATTCATAATCTCTCTAATAAAAATAGTTGGGATTACACCATTATTTATAGATTAAGCTCCCTACCAAAGTAAAAACTATTCCTCTACTAAAATTCTCAAAAAATTTTATAATCAAACTCTTAAACTCCTATACTACTAAAACTCTATAATAATTTCCTAATCAAATTTTAATTAATACTCCTTGTCAAACAGATATTCCTAACTAATATAATAATACTAAAACAAATAATAAAATTCAATTCTTAAATTTAAGTTCATCCAATTCCTTTTCGATCTCTATCAATTATTCTACCCCTTCTCTTAATGGATCTCATTACTTTCTTATAATAGTCGATGACTACTCTAGATGTACTTGGATTTACTTGATGAAGTCTAAGTCTGAAACTAAATACCAGCTCATTTCTTTTTATGCTATGGTGGAAACTCAGTGTCATGCTAGAATCAAGACTATTAGATCTGAAAATGGACAAGAATTTGTTATGTCTTCTTTCTTTGTCTCTAAAGGAATACTTCATCAGTTAAGGTGTGTTGACACAACAAAACAAAATGAGGTTGTGGAGAGAAAGCATCAACATCTTTTAAAGGTGGCTAGAGCACTTAGATTTTAAGCCAATCTTCCACTTTCTTTTTGGGGGGATTGTGTTTTAACTGTTGCTTACCTTGTAAATAGACTCCCCACACCTTTTCTTTCTGGGAAATCACCACTTGAAGTTTTCTTTTTTAAAACACCACGTTACTCTCACCTAAAAGTCTTTGGTTGTCTGTGTTATGCTTCCACACTCGAGCAACGTAGATCCAAATTTAATTCTCGAGCCAAACAACATGTCTTTATTCTAACAAAGCCTACAAATTGTTTGATCTAAACACTAACTTAGTGTTTATTTCCAGATATGTCATTTTCTATGAAAATGTCTTTCCTTTTTTTGGCAGCAGTGTAGCACCCTCATTTGGTGCAGCATCTGCTTCTAGAATAGATTCAGTGGTCTTACCATCTTTGATTTCTGATCCTAATCCTTCTGTTCCTGTCTTAGAACCTACTTCTGTTTCAGAAGCAGAATACAATGAAGTCTCAGATGTTTCCTTTGTATATTGACTCTTCTATTAATCTACTTCTATTCCTAATATTCCTAGACACTCGACCAGACTTAGGAAAGCTCCTAATTATTTACATGATTATCATTGCAACCTTCTCTCTTCTCACACATCCCATTCTACCTCCATGGTTGTTGGTTCCAAGTCTTCAGGTTCTTCTCATGCTCTTTCTCAGTTTGTGAATTATCTCCTTCTCACAGAGTTTTTAGTCTTGCTATTTTCTGTCAACAAGAACCTCAGTTTTCTCATGAAGCTGTTAAAACTCCTGAGTGGTGTGAGGCTATAAATGCTGAGATTAAAGCTCTTGAATCAAACAATACCTGGACTATCACCTCTCCCCCTCCAGGTAAACAACAAATAGGTTGTAAATGGGTTTATAAAATCAAATATAAAGCAGATGGCACCATTGAAAGGTATAAAGTCTGGTTGGTTGCTAAGTATTAGACTATTTGGAAACCTTTTCTCCTGTGGCCAAATTTACTACCATTCAATGTCTTTTGGTTGTAGCTGCTGTCAAGGGTAGGCATTTGTTTCAAATGGATGTTCATAATTCTTTTATTCATGGTGATTTAGAGGAGGAGGTCTGCATGAAGATTCCTCCTGGTTATGACAAAAGGGGGACAATTTGGTTTGTCATCTGATCAAATCTCTTTATGGTCTTAAGCAGGCTTCTAGACAATGGTTTTCCAAATTGTCCACTGCTATGCTTGGTTATGGGTTCTCTCAGGCCAAATCAGATTACTCTCTTTTCATCAAGACAGCTGGTTCTGGTTTTATAGCTTTATTAGTCTATGTGGATGATATTGTCATTTCCATTGACGATCTTAATGCTGCTGCAGAACTTAAGTATTTTCTTCATAGTCAGTTTCATCTTAAGGATCTTGGTAATTTAAATTTATATTTGGGCCTTGAAATTGCAAGATCCTCTAAGGGAATTTCTATTTGTCAAAAGAAATTTGCCCTTGAAATATTACAAGATTTTGGTCTACTTGATTCCAAACCAGCTCATTCCCCTATGGAACAAGTGGCAACACCTCAAGCTTTCCAAGGATTCTGGTTCTCTTTTACCATCCCCTTTTGTTTATAGAAGACTGACAGGTAGATTGTTATCCTTGACCCTCACAAGACCTGATCTCTCCTTTGCTGTCCAAGTTCTGAGTCAATTCATGGATAAGCCTAGGCAGTCACATCCTGAAACAGCATTCAATTTCTTGAGATATCTCAAAAATTCCGCAGGGTCTCTTTTTCTCAGCAACATCCGGTTTTCATCTCAAAGGCTTTTGTGATGCAGATTGGGCAGGATGCCCAAACTCCAAGAAGCAGGCTAGCTGACACATAATACAGAGTCATGGTTGCTTGTGCGTGTGAGATGAGATCACTTGGCTCATTGCTCTCCTTCATGATCTTCAGATTTCTCACTCTACCCCTGCTGTGACAACAAGGCAGCCCTTCACATTGCGGTCAAACCTGTTTTCCATGAATGAACCAAGCACATTGAGCTTGAATTTCATTTCATAAGAGATTAGATCCAGACTGGTCTTCTCAAGACTCTTCATGTTACTTCAATTCATCAGCTAAGTGATATCTTCACTAAACCCCTTGGTATTCAACAATTCAGTGTTTGTTAGGCAAGATGGGAGTTCTCAATATTCACTCTCTGTCTTGAGGGATACTGTTGAAGACTAATGAAGCTGCACAACAATAAAGTTGCAGAACAATAAGGCAGGAGATGCAGATGCATGAATATCAAAGCAACTGCAGAACATAATCAAGCAGTGCAGCAGTACAGAACACATGATGCAGATGCAAGCATAGAAGAAGACTTAGTCGGTTAGAGTTAGTTAGGCTGAGCTGGCAGATTAGTAAATTATAATTAGTTAGAGTTAGTTAGGAGTTTGTTATTTATCTCTATGTAATGTAGGGATATGACAGTAACATTGTACATAAATAGGTGTAAATTGTTCAAATCAATTCAATGAGAAATATCTTCTTTTCTCTAATTCTGAGATCTCTTCTTCTCCAAGTCTCTTCTTAACAGAGAGAGAGAGAGCGATTGAGAGAGATGGCTTAATTACGAAATTGGATGGACCAAAAAATTAGCACATCGAGAGGTCCTATGCCACCTTACTTGAGAGCTTTGTCATGTATGCTGCGGAGATCTTAAATTGCATGTATTTATTGTAATTATGACCACTTTTCATCTTCACTGGGCTTTACTTGATAAATATGAACCAAACAAGGATTAAAATTTCGTTTCGGTGTGTTGTTTCGGTCACCTAGGAAACGGAAACGTTTCGACTTGTTTCGTAAACGTTTTAATCCGTTTTGGAAGTATAATGAAAAAAATAAAAAATTTAAAAATTATTTTTTTAAAACATTGATTGAAATATATCAAAATATCTAGAAATACGTTGAAATATTTTGAAATAATTGTGCAAATGCATTGAAATATTATAAAACATCTCAAAACATCATGGAATAACTTGAGATATTAGAATTTCGATTTCATCACTGTTTTGTTTCGGTCTCCTTGAAAACAGAAACGTTTCGGATGTTTCAACTGTTTTGAAACGATATTTTGATCCTTGGAACCAAGTAGCAGCAATTTCAAGTGACAACATACCCTAGCTACTTTTTATTTACATCTTTCACTTTGCTTTTCCTGGATCCCAAATTAATGATAGAGTGGGCGTCCGACAAGCAGCGGATAGGCACTAATCCTTGAAAGATTCGATTCAAACAAAACGAGTGGTTTTCCTTCCGATTGATTACCTAAATGGTTCAGTGGATAGTTCATTCTGGTTCAAACATTGCTTTGTTGAATTCCCTCTGATCTTTACTTCATAAAGTCTTTGCAGTGGAATAATGGTGCTGTGTGAGAAACACTTTATTAACTTGTCTTTGATTATTTTCTAATCGTATCTTTAGGATGGTGTGATTCTTGGAGCTGATACACGTGCTACTGAAGGACCCATAGTTGCCGATAAGAATTGTGAGAAAATTCACTACATGGCTCCAAACATATATTGCTGTGGAGCAGGGACTGCTGCTGATACAGAAGCAGTGACAGGTATCTTTCCCGACTTTTGTGTTCTCTGTGAAGGTATGTGGTGTCATGCACAGGACACGAGAATGTAGTGCGTGTTAGAGAGAGAGAATTCGAGTGTGATTTCTCAACTAGAGTGAAAATTTCTTGAAAAAACACATTCCAGAGCAGCGCCAAGAGATGCAGATATGAAAAGATGTATATGGGCATTGACGTATATGTAATGGATACATATCNCTCTAATTCTGAGATCTCTTCTTCTCCAAGTCTCTTCTTAACAGAGAGAGAGAGAGAGCGATTGAGAGAGATGGCTTAATTACGAAATTGGATGGACCAAAAAATTAGCACATCGAGAGGTCCTATGCCACCTTACTTGAGAGCTTTGTCATGTATGCTGCGGAGATCTTAAATTGCATGTATTTATTGTAATTATGACCACTTTTCATCTTCACTGGGCTTTACTTGATAAATATGAACCAAACAAGGATTAAAATTTCGTTTCGGTGTGTTGTTTCGGTCACCTAGGAAACGGAAACGTTTCGACTTGTTTCGTAAACGTTTTAATCCGTTTTGGAAGTATAATGAAAAAAATAAAAAATTTAAAAATTATTTTTTTAAAACATTGATTGAAATATATCAAAATATCTAGAAATACGTTGAAATATTTTGAAATAATTGTGCAAATGCATTGAAATATTATAAAACATCTCAAAACATCATGGAATAACTTGAGATATTAGAATTTCGATTTCATCACTGTTTTGTTTCGGTCTCCTTGAAAACAGAAACGTTTCGGATGTTTCAACTGTTTTGAAACGATATTTTGATCCTTGGAACCAAGTAGCAGCAATTTCAAGTGACAACATACCCTAGCTACTTTTTATTTACATCTTTCACTTTGCTTTTCCTGGATCCCAAATTAATGATAGAGTGGGCGTCCGACAAGCAGCGGATAGGCACTAATCCTTGAAAGATTCGATTCAAACAAAACGAGTGGTTTTCCTTCCGATTGATTACCTAAATGGTTCAGTGGATAGTTCATTCTGGTTCAAACATTGCTTTGTTGAATTCCCTCTGATCTTTACTTCATAAAGTCTTTGCAGTGGAATAATGGTGCTGTGTGAGAAACACTTTATTAACTTGTCTTTGATTATTTTCTAATCGTATCTTTAGGATGGTGTGATTCTTGGAGCTGATACACGTGCTACTGAAGGACCCATAGTTGCCGATAAGAATTGTGAGAAAATTCACTACATGGCTCCAAACATATATTGCTGTGGAGCAGGGACTGCTGCTGATACAGAAGCAGTGACAGGTATCTTTCCCGACTTTTGTGTTCTCTGTGAAGGTATGTGGTGTCATGCACAGGACACGAGAATGTAGTGCGTGTTAGAGAGAGAGAATTCGAGTGTGATTTCTCAACTAGAGTGAAAATTTCTTGAAAAAACACATTCCAGAGCAGCGCCAAGAGATGCAGATATGAAAAGATGTATATGGGCATTGACGTATATGTAATGGATACATATCTATACCATAGAACCGTATGACAAAAGCACATGTAGCCTGACAGAGTTGGAGTATATGGAGTAAATATGTGATGAGGGTTCAACTCCCCTCTGCCGACATGCTGACACATTCTTGGCTTAAAATAAGTGGCACCTTCTTGTGTAAAATTGTGCCTTTGAATTTAACATCTATTCCTTAAATCTGTTCATTGGAGAGGAGTTCACTCCTCTACCCAACGAACTAGGTATTATGCATGTCTTTTCGTAGTTGATGTTTTAGTCATGCGTTGACAACCCCAATATCCATTGCGCTTTTAGACATGGTCAGTTCGCAGCTGCAGCTACACCGCTATCATACTGGTCGTGAATCAAGGGTTGTAACAGCTCTTACACTTCTGAAATCTCATCTTTTCAAGTAAGCCTATATTTTTTGGACGTGGTTGTCATTAGAAGTAGCAGTGTTTGATGTCTAAGCAGTTATGCATTAAAAAGCCTGACTCTGTTGTGTCACTTATTTAGCTACCAAGGTCATGTCCAAGCTGCATTGGTGCTCGGTGGAGTTGATATCACAGGCCCCCATTTGCACACTGTGAGTCACCTAATTTACTGATATCCCATGCTTCATTTTCATGCAAAAAACTAACTAGTGTTATCAACTGTATAATATCACAGATCTACCCTCATGGATCAACGGACACTTTGCCATTCGCTACAATGGGATCTGGTTCTCTTGCTGCAATGGCTGTCTTTGAATCAAAATACCACGAAGGACTGAATGTAAGTTCATTCAGTGCAGTTAATTATAAGTGCTGGAACTCATGGACAATTTGACCAATCTGACTTATTTCTAAACCACTCATTTTTTCATACCTAGTTTTACTTCAGGTGTAGATCACATTATTTAGTTCTCAAGACTAGTTTGTGGGGGTATGTTTCTCAATTATGTTAGTGATGATGGAGTGTCCTTTTTCTTTTCACCTATTTTTTGTTGACAGAGGGATGAAGGAATAAAGCTCGTAGCCGAGGCTATCTGCTCTGGCATATTTAATGACTTGGGAAGTGGAAGCAATGTGGATATCTGTGTTATTACTAAGGTTTGTTCTTAAAGAGGATGAGAATTTTCACACTTTATTCTTGTGTTTTTATGCATAAAATTTGTGAGGACTGAGGAGTGCCTTGTATACTTCTTTGACAATGCTGGCTTTTCCAGGGACACAAGGAGTACCTGAGGAACCACATGTTGCCAAATCCTCGAACCTATGTCAGTTCACAAGGTTACACATTTTCTAAAAAGACAGGTTAGTAAATCTCTCCTAGTAGCTTGCATTTCAGAAGTCATAGCATTAGCAATTGTATCGTTTGCTAGATTTATGGATTCTTTCTTTTACATACCATACGGCAGCCTAGATATTTGAATTGTTTAATTGTTGGTTTAAAAGGAAGTCAGAGTTGTTAATTCCGTTAATATCAATCACTTGAAGCAAACTTTGTTCTTAGCTATTCTTTGTCTCGTGTTTGTTACCTCATAGTTACGAGGCCAGAATACCACGCATCTACGTGGTTTCCGTTTAAGGAAATTACTTATTTCTGGATGATATTATTATATGCATAATGACTGTACACATATTGGAGATAGGCAATTATTTTCATCTATGACTAAGTTGCTGGGTGGGACTAATGATGAGTTTAAAACAGGGAAAGGATAGCTTAGGGATTGAGGATTAGATTTTTAGGTTTTTAGATGCTTTAGGTTTAATTACTTGGTATTAAAACTTCAATTATTATGCTCTTTTATTTAGAATGATAGTATTGGATCCCTGTGGAACTGCCTGTAAATAAACTTGTGTAATTGATTACAGTTTTTGGCATGGTGAAAAATGGTATTGAATTGTCAACTGGGAGTTTTCTCTGTACGGCATCTCTTTTCCTGTTTTTCCTTGGCCTTTCTTCTGCTCTATTCTCATCTCTCTTCTTCCTTCTTTTCTTCTCTCTTTCTTTTTTCTGGTTTTCTCCCTCTCTTGGCTTCTCTCTCTGCCTTCTTCTCTTCCCCATCCTTCCTTTTCTGGCTTTGTGATTCTATCTTAATTATGGCCTACATCAACTAAGTTTATGCAGCTCATGGATGGTGATATCATTAATATGCTAGTGGCCAGTTATTTGAATCCAGACACAGCTTTACTTTCTAGTGTTTCTGCAGTTAACGGGCCTTTGGTCCAATGGTACTCCTTACTTTGTGAAGGCTTTGCCTTCTTGAGGTCAAGAGTTCAAGTCTCCCCTCCTCCTCCCCCTCTCCCCCGTCCAAAAAAAAAAAGAAGTGTTTCTGCAGTTGTCAACTTTAATTTTTATGCAAGGACTGAGAATAAATAAAGCTCCCTCTCTATTCTGCCTACAAAGTGATACATTCCTTGGTGCCTTTTGGGATGCATTGAAACACTGTAGTTTTGTTCTGCTGTGATTGCAGAGGTTCTGCTGACAAAGATCACACCATTGAAAGAGATGGTGGAAGTGACTGAAGGAGGAGAGGCAATGGAAGAATGAGTTGTGGTTAAACTTTGCTTAGTAACTTTTGTATGAATTTTTTTTCACATCTATTGCTCTATGTTTCATCTTGTACTCAATATAAAAAAATGTTTTAATTTACAATCAATATTGCCTCGGATTGTTTTATTACTTTGTTTTAAGTTGGTCTGGGATTATCTTGCGGTCCTCTGTCATAATTTGGGTGTGAGATCTGTGTTGGTAGTTGGTACTCTTGTTTCTTCGATATGAAACAGTGACCAAGCTGGACAATTGGACTATCCGGAGTGCTAACCTGGTCCTTATTCACGAAACCTCTCAAAAACGTTAGCTTCGTCAGTTCGTTTATTTATGCTTTTTATTGGGATTCCTTTGGCTTACAGCTTACAGACGTAATTGGATCCCTTTATGTTCCTTTTGTGAGCATTGTTTTAAAATTTAGCCAGGCCTGGCAGGTTAATCCGGTGAACCGGAGCCTAAACTGGTCCGGTTCAACTATTAGGTCGTTCGTGAAGAATTTGCTGAACCGGCCGATTTTGTAACAAATCCGCTGCCCAGGACGGGTTATATCCAACTGGACGGTTTAATTTAAAAGCTATAAAAACTAAATTCTAGGGCATTTTTGCTCAAAAATTCATTTCGTTTGCTCTGGACAATCTCTAGTTCAGGGCCTTTAGTTCTTCAATGAGCGAGCTACAAAACTCAAATAGTAGATCTTCCAAACTTTGACTCACAAGCTACAAAGTATCTATATACTTATCTCTCAGTCCCAAGTATTACGTTTCTCTCTCTCTCTCTCTGTTGATCGACAGTCTGCAATTATGATGTTATCCATGGTAAGTTTGAAGTTGATTATGATATTAGGTGTTGGAATTGGAAGAACAATTTTTTTGTAAAATCCATGGTAATTTTGTAGTTGATTACGATATTAGGTGTTGGAACTTTGGTAGAATTGGAACTTTGGAATTGGAAGAACAGATTTTTTTCAAGAGCAGAAATCGAACTTTGGAACCTTGGAAGTGTCTAACGGCAGACATATTTTTTCAAGACTTAACAGCAGATTTTTCTTTTTAAATCCTTTGTATAATTGTAAATTGCAATGCACATGCTTGAATGTAGATGTTAAACATTGAATCATTCATTTTAGTTATTTGATATGGGATACATGTTTGATGATTTGGGTATTTTTGTTTGATTTATTTGACCAGTTTGATCAGTGACTCAACGGTTGAACTAGTAACCCGGTTAATATCCGGACCCATTTTCAGAACTATTTTTGTGAGTGTTGATTTATTCGGCTGAGACCTTCNATCATTCATTTTAGTTATTTGATATGGGATACATGTTTGATGATTTGGGTATTTTTTGTTTGATTTATTTGACCGGTTTGATCAGTGACTCAACGGTTGAACTAGTAACCCGGTTAATGTCCGAACCCATTTTCAAAACTATTTTTGTGAGTGTTGATTTATTCGGCTGAGACCTCCTGGTGTCACTTAGATTATGTCGATTTCATAATAACTATTTACTTGTGTAGTATGTGAAATCACTTCTAATATCTGAGCTCATCGCATGCTATTGTTAGTCTTTGCAGACAAGGAATGGCTCGGTGGCCCGATTAGTCCATATCCTTTACTTCTCCTTGCTGCAAAGAATCACTGTAATGGCAAAGTCCCTTCGAATGATCAGTAAGCTTTTTACTTCGTATTAGTTCTTTACAGTGTTCAAAGAATAATCCATGAACTACATAGAAGCTTTCGGTTAAGAAAGCTTTGGTTCCTTATCTGAAGGCTTCACTAGCTGCTCCTGTCAATTTGGAACTTCTATATTCCAAAGAAGTTCTTTACAATTGAATCCACTATCGATCCAATGGACAGAAATGATTTTGTACTATCCATACTTCTAGTACTGTTAACAATTTTGTACCACTGGCTTCCCGGATCGCACGAGTTCTCTCTGCTCAAACATTTGCAGGCATTAGTAACAAGAGTGTTGCTGGAATCTACATCTAAGCAGACGGTAGTGCCATCGTCGAGCTTCGATGTGAGGTGCATCTTAGAGTTGGAAATGGTTTCCCATTTTGAACTACTATCTGTGCATATTATTCCCAGTTTTGCTGGCTGCCCCAACCCTACTGCTTGCAGGCAAAAATATGTTCCCTTTATTGTTAGTGTTTTCTGAGTAGTGTAGCTCCAAGCCTCGGCCTCAGAGCATGGACCTAGATACAATGGTTCAAACAGAGAATTTCTCTTGACGCAGAGGCCTGTTAGAGGATGGAAAATAATTTTGTATGGACGAGCTCTTGAAAGACCTGGTCCTGCATTTCAAGTAAATTACACACAATCTTTAGTGATCTCTAGAACACATCTCAATGCCCAAACTTAACTTGAATCTTTGCCCAATTTCTGTACCCCGACCAAACTCGACCTGAGTTTCAGCGCGAGTTACATCACTCAAGAATCAAACTAGAATTTCAATTTGAGTTGTATAAGTCACGATGGACAATTTCTCTAGTTGAAAATCGAATTTGAGTTCAGATCGAACTCTTGTAGAGTGTTTTATACTTGGTTTGAGCATTTGAACGCAAGTTAGTCTATCAACCAATTCAACTTGCTCAAGTTGCGCCCATATTTCTATGAATTCAAATTGATAATAATAATAAGAGTAAATAATACATATAGCCCTCAAATTATGATCTTTGTGTTAATTAGTCTTTGAATTTTTTTATATGAATTAAACACCTGAATTTTTTAATTGTATCAATTGAGCCCTTCTATCTGCTTCTGCTAGTTTTTTTAATGGAAGTGGAGTAAACTACACATATGGTCCTTTGTCTTCACATGAGTGGAGGCACACTATAACGGATGTAGAAGAGCTCAATTGACACACAAAAAAAAGTTCACAAGTTTAATTGACACAAATGTCATAGTATGAGGGTCATATTTGTAATTTACTCTAATAATAATAATTGAGGAGGAGAGGTCTGTATATTATTGTTTTCATGAAAGTGGATGCTGGTATACCTTGAAAAGGAGATTGGAGAGTACTGATCCTATCCAACATGCTTGAATTGCGAACTTCACACCAATTCCAATTCAAAATGCCATAGAACTCATTCATTCCAATCACCCCTTCTCTATAATAATAACTCCCCACCATTGTCCACAGTGCCCAATCCCAGTCATGTTCAGCTGCCACACCCATGAAGCAATTCAAGTACCTATTGTCATTCACATTAGTACCCCTTTGGTCTACCCCAAACTCACTCACAAACAAGGGGTACCCTTGGTCCAACACAAAACCTGCTCTCCTCATCAAGTTATTGACCACCTCCCCACACACTTCGTTAGGATTGCCGGTTTCCCAAGCCTTCGAGTCAGCGAAACTGTACCAATGCACCTCGAAAACTAGCTTGTCGGAGAACGACAAGTTCACCGGTCTCTTGAGAAGGAACGAGAGATCTTTGTCGTAATTCAACCCAGAGAGAATAACAAGGACATCTGGGTTTACTGCGTGCACTGCCTCGGCTCCTTTTTGCATGTACCTAGCTCATTTCATGTGGAGCATTTAAATTAGATACTTGCATAGGCTATTGCATGGTATAGTGTAAACTATGCCGGGCCAATATTTCCCTCTCGCTTAGTCTAATGAAAGCCCATGGACCATGGGCTGGCCCCCTAATCTGGTAGCCCATTGTGTCACCAATGACCCGGCCCATTACTGGGCAACCCGTGTGTTGCCCATTAGGGGGCCAATTGATGTCAGCCAATGCAGTCTGGCATATTGGCTCGACAAAATTAGAAAGAACATATAGTTGGTAAAATTCAAAAAAGAAATTGAAAATTTTAAACTCATTAGGCCGACGACGGGTATGGTTCAACGGGCTGGCCATGGTTTTTTTTTTTCGGGCGGGGTAGCCTCCAAACCCGTTTTCGATCAGTAATTACTACTTAATATATGTTATATGTGCAAGTGCAGCAACTTTATTTAGTCATTCAATAAGATTTGAGTATATACCTGTACCAGTCAGTAACATTCTGTTTGGCCCCTCGGAGTTCATTCCTCAAGCTCATGGCGACCACATTGGAAATGCCATTGAACAGGGTAGCTACCTTTGTTAGACCATTGAGCCAGACGTCAGGGCTAAAGTACTGGTCACCAAAGAAGCCATTGCCGTCGAAGTTACTACAACACCAGCCTGGTTTGCTTATGTGGTTGTCTAGTACCACCATCACATTGTTGGTTGCTAGGCTAGATACCACTTCCTGGTATATAATTTCTTGATTAGATAATAAACAATATATGAGTGGGTTGTTTGGCTGCCCCCCTTTTTTGACTTTAATGTAGTTATCTCATTTGATAAGAACATGTAACACTTTTACAACCATAGAATATTTAGGTAGCTGGATGAATAGAAATGCAGTGGTTAATGTTTTTTTTTTGGTCAGATCATCCGGTATCCGAAAGTAGTCACTTTGGGCTCTGATTAATCCGGATTTAAGTTAAGTAAGACCACAAGGGCGACAAAGTGGTATGATCAGCATCATGATCACTTGGCTGAGGTGAAAGATCGTTTACGATTCAAACAAATCAAGTTACAACTCAATATATAATAGTACGGGGACTAAATTTTAATTAAATAATTACTTTTTATATGATGAGCATAACTTGACAATGACTAAATTGAAACTGAATGATTACTTTTTATATGATAGTAGTAGGATATTTCCCTAGTCACTATCACCACCACCTAACTCTTATCATATTCCATGCCATGACTTATCAAGCACAGTCTGTCTTCAATCAGTTTGAATCTTCTCAAATGCAGTTCTCTACTTAATGGATCACCTTATCTCAATATAAAAAAGTCCTCTCATTAAATGAACACCATAGACTCATAAAGTTTGCCATAAACTTTTAGCCATTCTTTTCAAAAATACACGAATATATTATAAGATTTTAATCCTGCATATTGAAAGAGTCATTTTGTTTTTATTTGGGTGTTCAAACAGACTTATGCTCACCTCGACTAACGTCCTGGTCTGATCCAAAAAATTATTAATATTAATATTTAAACTCAGAACGTCTGGATCTAAGACTTCGCCCTATTATCGTTTAAACTACTCTTGAGGTATACAACTTCTTTTTCACCTTAACATCTTTGTCATTTTTCTTCTACTTTATTTGCTATAAGTTAATCTCAAACTCTTAACAGGAAAAGAAACAGTTTTACCTGGTAAGCATTGACGAGGCTAAGGTCAACGATGGAGGGATTGTTGGCTTGAAAACCTGCAACGGATTCAATCAACCCAAGGCTCTGGAATGACTGCCTAACTGTGAGAGAAGCCAAGGAGTCATTGGTGAACAAGAAAAGTGGCCAAGTGAGCCTAACACAATTGAATCCCATGTCCACAATCTTCTTCGAAATCGAGTCGACCGGCTGTTTGCTAAGGCCTTCGGCCACCATGGCTTCGAGGTGTGACACCCAATTCACGCAGGCGAGCTTCACGCGTTGCCCGGATTCATCCACGATCCACCGTGAATTGGTGGAAAGTGGCAGAGCCACCACAGTATTTGGCGTTGTAAGACTGAGGAAGACAAACAGAAGAGAGAGAGAACATAGGAAGAAAAAAGAGAACTTCCCCATGTTTGAAGTTTTTTATGACCTGGGGGACATTGGGGATGGATAAAAGAACTCCCAAGTCTATATATATATATATATATATATATATATATATAACACCTTATAATTTAGCCTGCGAATAGTCCTGGCCAAATGATTAATTGGGATTGGACACAATCATCACGTTAGTAGAAATAGTTTAGCTGTAGGATTACTCCTTCCAGCAGTGCATAACACTAGACTGACCAAAAAATAAGTATCAAATTACGTGGTGTTGATATGGTGATGTTTTTGGTTCCATTTTTCCTAACTTAAATTTGAAGTTTACTCATCGTACGTGTTAACCTCACAACATTTGGTCCATGTTTTTTTGGTTAATTTAGCATTACCCTTCATTTGTTATTTGAAAAAGAGGGATTTTTAAACTTAAACTTCAATTCAAGTTCAGTTAACTCAACAAAATCTTATTTCTATTATCTAGGGAGAAGTCGTGAATTATAACTTAGCTAAGCATGATATTATTCTCATAACGCTGCGTTTGGTAGCTTGTAATTAATCATGAAAATTGAATAATCATTACTTAATAATATTTATTTTAATGTTTGATATGTAATAATGACAATTTATTCTTATTCTCATGGAATGTCTTATCTAATCAACATTAGATTTATCATTCTTTCATATGTGGTGGCATTTCTCATTCCCAACTACCATCAATTGTCACCACAACCACGAACACCAAGGCCTGAGATCGAGTCTTAGGATTTTTCAAATGATTATTTATCTAAATATTTGAGTGGATTTTCAATTCTATTTCAGTGCTTAATCCTAGTTATTATCAAACATTGGAATTGTAATACACATTTCATTCAATTCCTACCTTGATTGCATTCTTANCCAATTGATGTCAGCCAATGCAGTCTGGCATATTGGCTCGACAAAATTAGAAAGAACATATAGTTGGTAAAATTCAAAAAAGAAATTGAAAATTTTAAACTCATTAGGCCGACGACAGGTATGGTTCAACGGGCTGGCCATGGTTNCCAATTGATGTCAGCCAATGCAGTCTGGCATATTGGCTCGACAAAATTAGAAAGAATATATAGTTGGTAAAATTCAAAAAAGAAATTGAAAATTTTAAACTCATTAGGCCGACGACGGGTATGGTTCAACGGGCTGGCCATGGTTTTTTTTTTTCGGGCGGGGTAGCCTCCAAACCCGTTTTCGATCAGTAATTACTACTTAATATATGTTATATGTGCAAGTGCAGCAACTTTATTTAGTCATTCAATAAGATTTGAGTATATACCTGTACCAGTCAGTAACATTCTGTTTGGCCCCTCGGAGTTCATTCCTCAAGCTCATGGCGACCACATTGGAAATGCCATTGAACAGGGTAGCTACCTTTGTTAGACCATTGAGCCAGACGTCAGGGCTAAAGTACTGGTCACCAAAGAAGCCATTGCCGTCGAAGTTACTACAACACCAGCCTGGTTTGCTTATGTGGTTGTCTAGTACCACCATCACATTGTTGGTTGCTAGGCTAGATACCACTTCCTGGTATATAATTTCTTGATTAGATAATAAACAATATATGAGTGGGTTGTTTGGCTGCCCCCCTTTTTTGACTTTAATGTAGTTATCTCATTTGATAAGAACATGTAACACTTTTACAACCATAGAATATTTAGGTAGCTGGATGAATAGAAATGTCGTGGTTAATGTTTTTTTTTTTTTTTGGTCAGATCATCCGGTATCCGAAAGTAATCACTTTGGGCTCTGACTAATCCGGATTCAAGTCAAGTAAGACCACAAGGGCAACAAAGTGGTATGATCAGCATCATGATCATTTGGCTGAGGTGAAAGATCGTTTACGATTCAAACAAATCAAGTTACAACTCAATATATAATAGTACGGGGACTAAATTTTAATTAAATAAGTACTTTTTATATGATGAGCATTACTTGACAATGACTAAATTGAAATTGAATGATTACTTTTTATATGATAGTAGTAGGATATTTCCCTAGTCACTATCACCACCACCTAACTCTTATCATATTCCATGCCATGACTTATCAAGCACAGTCTGTCTTCAATCAGTTTGAATCTTCTCAAATGCAGTTCTCTACTTAATGGATCACCTTATCTCAATATAAAAAAGTCCTCTCATTAAATGAACACCATAGACTCATAAAGTTTGCCATAAACTTTTAGCCATTCTTTTCAAAAATACACGGATATATTATAAGATTTTAATCCTGCATATTGAAAGAGTCATTTTGTTTTTATTTGGGTGTTCAAACAGATTTATGCTCACCCCGACTAATATCCTGGTCTGATCCAAAAAATTATTAATATTAATATTTAAACTCATAACGTCTGGATTTAAGGCTCGCCCTGTTATCGTTTAAACTACTCTTGAGGTATACAACTTCTTTTTCACCTCAACATCTTTGTCATTTTTCTTCTACTTTATTTGCTATAAGTTAATCTCAAACTCTTAACAGGAAAAGAAACAGTTTTACCTGGTAAGCATTGACGAGGCTAAGGTCAACGATGGAGGGATTGTTGGCTTGAAAACCTGCAACGGATTCAATCAACCCAAGGCTCTGGAATGACTGCCTAACTGTGAGAGAAGCCAAGGAGTCATTGGTGAACAAGAAAAGTGGCCAAGTGAGCCTAACACAATTGAATCCCATGTCCACAATCTTCTTCGAAATCGAGTCGACCGGCTGTTTGCTAAGGCCTTCGGCCACCATGGCTTCGAGGTGTGACACCCAATTCACGCAGGCGAGCTTCACGCGTTGCCCGGATTCATCCACGATCCACCGTGAATTGGTGGAAAGTGGCAGAGCCACCACAGTATTTGGCGTTGTAAGACTGAGGAAGACAAACAGAAGAGAGAGAGAACATAGGAAGAAAAAAGAGAACTTCCCCATGTTTGAAGTTTTTTATGACCTGGGGGACATTGGGGATGGATAAAAGAACTCCCAAGTCTTTATATATATATATATATATATATATATATATAACACCTTATAATTTAGCCTGCGAATAGTCCTGGCCAAATGATTAATTGGGATTGGACACAATCATCACTTTAGTGGAAATAGTTTAGCTGTAGGATTACTCCTTCCAGCCGTGCATAACACTAGACTGACCAAAAAATAAGTATCAAATTACGTGGTGTTGATATGGTGATGTTTTTGGTTCCATTTTTCCTAACTTAAATTTGAAGTTTACTCATCGTACGTGTTAACCTCACAACATTTGGTCCATGTTTTTTTGGTTAATTTAGCATTACCCTTCATTTGTTATTTGAAAAAGAGGGATTTTTAAACTTAAACTTCAATTCAAGTTCAGTTAACTCAACAAAATCTTATTTCTATTATCTAGGGAGAAGTCGTGAATTATAACTTAGCTAAGCATGATATTATTCTCATAACGCTGCGTTTGGTAGCTTGTAATTAATCATGAAAATAGAATAATCATTACTTAATAATATTTATTTCAATGTTTGATATGTAATAATAACAATTTATTCTTATTCTCATGGAATGTCTTATCTAATCAACATTAGATTTATCATTCTTTCATATGTGGTGGCATTTCTCATTCCCAACTACCATCAATTGTCACCACAACCACGAACACCAAGGCCTGAGATCGAGTCTTAGGATTTTTCAAATGATTATTTATCTAAATATTTGAGTGGATTTTCAATTCTATTTCAGCGCTTAATCCTAGTTATTATCAAACATTGGAATTGTAATACACATTTCATTCAATTCCTACCTTGATTGCATTCTCACTTTGATTATATTCTCTTGTAAAAGTATTACCGTGTACTAAACAAAATATTATAATTTTTTACAAAAATGAGCTGAAATTGGACCACTAAATTTCGATGAAACAATCTCCCGGAAGGGCCTTGGATTGCGCAACTGACACAATCATTTTGCACCATTTTTGATTATTCAAAGATCCTTGTAGGAAGCATGCATGCATTATCATAATAGTTGTGATCAATGTGTAGTAAGCGTAGGTGTTTGATAAAATGTCCGGTCAAGATTAGATATTATTGAAAATGTCTGATTGGCAAAAAAAGGGTGAGGGTAAATAAGAGTGTTCAGAGATCACTCGATAGACACTCATTGCTGGAATTATGAAACTCGCAAATGTGTTTGTTACTTCTTTCGAAAATGAACTTAATTAGATTAATATAACGATCAATCGCCGAGTTCCAATATAAATTCTAAGATTTGAACCTCTAACTACAAGATGAAAAATTCGACGGACAAACACTGTTGAGAATGTGTATGATCATTGATGATGTTGCAAACACGCCAAGAAACGGATATACAGAGATGACCACGTTTGGACAATTGTTTAAGGGAAGGAGGTGCCGTAGGGGAAGGCCTTTGTGAGCACAACTTATGACTTTAGGGATACGNAACATGTAACACTTTTACAACCATAGAATATTTAGGTAGCTGGATGAATAGAAATGCAGTGGTTAATGTTTTTTTTTTGGTCAGATCATCCGGTATCCGAAAGTAGTCACTTTGGGCTCTGATTAATCCGGATTTAAGTTAAGTAAGACCACAAGGGCGACAAAGTGGTATGATCAGCATCATGATCATTTGGCTGAGGTGAAAGATCGTTTACGATTCAAACAAATCAAGTTACAACTCAATATATAATAGTACGGGGACTAAATTTTAATTAAATAAGTACTTTTTATATGATGAGCATTACTTGACAATGACTAAATTGAAATTNAAATCAAGTTACAACTCAATATATAATAGTACGGGGACTAAATTTTAATTAAATAATTACTTTTTATATGATGAGCATAACTTGACAATGACTAAATTGAAACTGAATGATTACTTTTTATATGATAGTAGTAGGATATTTCCCTAGTCACTATCACCACCACCTAACTCTTATCATATTCCATGCCATGACTTATCAAGCACAGTCTGTCTTCAATCAGTTTGAATCTTCTCAAATGCAGTTCTCTACTTAATGGATCACCTTATCTCAATATAAAAAAGTCCTCTCATTAAATGAACACCATAGACTCATAAAGTTTGCCATAAACTTTTAGCCATTCTTTTCAAAAATACACGGATATATTATAAGATTTTAATCCTGCATATTGAAAGAGTCATTTTGTTTTTATTTGGGTGTTCAAACAGATTTATGCTCACCCCGACTAATATCCTGGTCTGATCCAAAAAATTATTAATATTAATATTTAAACTCATAACGTCTGGATTTAAGGCTCGCCCTGTTATCGTTTAAACTACTCTTGAGGTATACAACTTCTTTTTCACCTCAACATCTTTGTCATTTTTCTTCTACTTTATTTGCTATAAGTTAATCTCAAACTCTTAACAGGAAAAGAAACAGTTTTACCTGGTAAGCATTGACGAGGCTAAGGTCAACGATGGAGGGATTGTTGGCTTGAAAACCTGCAACGGATTCAATCAACCCAAGGCTCTGGAATGACTGCCTAACTGTGAGAGAAGCCAAGGAGTCATTGGTGAACAAGAAAAGTGGCCAAGTGAGCCTAACACAATTGAATCCCATGTCCACAATCTTCTTCGAAATCGAGTCGACCGGCTGTTTGCTAAGGCCTTCGGCCACCATGGCTTCGAGGTGTGACACCCAATTCACGCAGGCGAGCTTCACGCGTTGCCCGGATTCATCCACGATCCACCGTGAATTGGTGGAAAGTGGCAGAGCCACCACAGTATTTGGCGTTGTAAGACTGAGGAAGACAAACAGAAGAGAGAGAGAACATAGGAAGAAAAAAGAGAACTTCCCCATGTTTGAAGTTTTTTATGACCTGGGGGACATTGGGGATGGATAAAAGAACTCCCAAGTCTTTATATATATATATATATATATATATATATATAAAAGGTGTTCTTTTTTTATTTTCGTTTGTTTTGTCATTAGGCAAACTTATAGGCAAGATATTCTCAACTTGGCAAATAAAAAAGTTCCCTTTTTAACGCTAATAGGTTTACCAAAATTTAAACTCCTGAAGTCTGAATTTTTAGTTTTTCTATTATTATTTGAGTTATCCCTTGAGGTTAGGTCATGAAAAATTTATCCTTTATGAATACCTTAGTTTTAACATAAATGACCTGTCTTTGACTAGACCGGAGAGAGAATTAATTGAGATACACATAAATCGATAAATTGACCTGAATATCTCTAACCGTTGAAATATCTATATAATAAAATAACTTATAATTCAAATTTCAAAAGATAAATAAAATGACTTTTACTATTTGCGATTGAGATCGTTTTAAATTTTACTTTAAAGTTAATTTAACTGCTAATAACACTTTAAATTTAATAAGAAAAATAGGATCCAAAGAGTGTGTTTGAAGTAACTTTTTAAATATACTTTTAAAATTTATTTATTATAAATACTTTAAAAAAAAAAAATTTAAAAACCGCCCCACCACTAATTTTACCATCACCACCCCCACCATCACCACCGCCGCCACCACCTCCACTATCGTCATCGCTGTCACCTCCATCATCGCCATTGCTGTCGTCGCCGTCGTCACTACCGTCGCCACCGCCACTACCATTGCCGCTGCTGGCAACATGGTAATTGTCACCCACCACCTCTCACCTCCACTATAATCGATGCTTAAATTCATTTATCTTTCATCTATATTTGTGATTTAATTTTGGATATGAATACAAATATATTTATTATTTTTTATTTTTTATTATTTTGTGTCTTCAAGTACAGACAATAACTAATATATATATATATATATATATATATATATAACACCTTATAATTTAGCCTGCGAATAGTCCTGGCCAAATGATTAATTGGGATTGGACACAATCATCACTTTAGTGGAAATAGTTTAGCTGTAGGATTACTCCTTCCAGCCGTGCATAACACTAGACTGACCAAAAAATAAGTATCAAATTACGTGGTGTTGATATGGTGATGTTTTTGGTTCCATTTTTCCTAACTTAAATTTGAAGTTTACTCATCGTACGTGTTAACCTCACAACATTTGGTCCATGTTTTTTTGGTTAATTTAGCATTACCCTTCATTTGTTATTTGAAAAAGAGGGATTTTTAAACTTAAACTTCAATTCAAGTTCAGTTAACTCAACAAAATCTTATTTCTATTATCTAGGGAGAAGTCGTGAATTATAACTTAGCTAAGCATGATATTATTCTCATAACGCTGCGTTTGGTAGCTTGTAATTAATCATGAAAATAGAATAATCATTACTTAATAATATTTATTTCAATGTTTGATATGTAATAATAACAATTTATTCTTATTCTCATGGAATGTCTTATCTAATCAACATTAGATTTATCATTCTTTCATATGTGGTGGCATTTCTCATTCCCAACTACCATCAATTGTCACCACAACCACGAACACCAAGGCCTGAGATCGAGTCTTAGGATTTTTCAAATGATTATTTATCTAAATATTTGAGTGGATTTTCAATTCTATTTCAGCGCTTAATCCTAGTTATTATCAAACATTGGAATTGTAATACACATTTCATTCAATTCCTACCTTGATTGCATTCTCACTTTGATTATATTCTCTTGTAAAAGTATTACCGTGTACTAAACAAAATATTATAATTTTTTACAAAAATGAGCTGAAATTGGACCACTAAATTTCGATGAAACAATCTCCCGGAAGGGCCTTGGATTGCGCAACTGACACAATCATTTTGCACCATTTTTGATTATTCAAAGATCCTTGTAGGAAGCATGCATGCATTATCATAATAGTTGTGATCAATGTGTAGTAAGCGTAGGTGTTTGATAAAATGTCCGGTCAAGATTAGATATTATTGAAAATGTCTGATTGGCAAAAAAAGGGTGAGGGTAAATAAGAGTGTTCAGAGATCACTCGATAGACACTCATTGCTGGAATTATGAAACTCGCAAATGTGTTTGTTACTTCTTTCGAAAATGAACTTAATTAGATTAATATAACGATCAATCGCCGAGTTCCAATATAAATTCTAAGATTTGAACCTCTAACTACAAGATGAAAAATTCGACGGACAAACACTGTTGAGAATGTGTATGATCATTGATGATGTTGCAAACACGCCAAGAAACGGATATACAGAGATGACCACGTTTGGACAATTGTTTAAGGGAAGGAGGTGCCGTAGGGGAAGGCCTTTGTGAGCACAACTTATGACTTTAGGGATACGAGATGATTGTTGTTGCTGCCCAGCTTGGACTTTCACTTACCAAGGCTTTTGGCAGTCTTACCGGCCAATGCAGGTCTAATTGCTTTTGCCAATGTTTGTTTTTTTGTTCGGGTTGTCTATCTTTTTCCATCCCCACTAAAAAATAAAATATAGAATTGTTGGGATAGCGATGACTCATATTTACTATATTTTAATAATTTTAATGTGGATAATATCTATTTAAGGACGTGTACCCGTTAAAAAGTTAATGAGACAATTTTACAGCACTGGTGTTTGGTTGTCGGGTCAAATAATTATCGTTTGGTTGCCGGGTTCCTATAATAGGTCAGGAAAGCTATGGAATACCCCGTGATAAGAAATACCTTGGGGCACGGAATTGGTACATGCGGATTTTTAATGTCCTCCTAGTAGAGAAGATTTACTAGACTGAGATAAATTAGCAAAAATTGATGTATCATATTTGTGTGGAACTAGGTTTCTTTGTCAGACCATGATTAGGGTTATTAACTATAAATATGTTGTAATTCTTGTGGATTTTGATATAGGATAAATTACACNCCATAGACTCATAAAGTTTGCCATAAACTTTTAGCCATTCTTTTCAAAAATACACGAATATATTATAAGATTTTAATCCTGCATATTGAAAGAGTCATTTTGTTTTTATTTGGGTGTTCAAACAGACTTATGCTCACCTCGACTAACGTCCTGGTCTGATCCAAAAAATTATTAATATTAATATTTAAACTCAGAACGTCTGGATCTAAGACTTCGCCCTATTATCGTTTAAACTACTCTTGAGGTATACAACTTCTTTTTCACCTTANACCAACATATCATGAAGTTTATCACTTGTTGAACTTTAGTGTTTAAAATTTTAATTCATCAATTTAATCCTCAAAATTCGCACTTTTAACTGAAGTGATCATTTGTACTAACAACTATTCAAATCATGGACATAAAAAGATTCAACACCCTTAGGGTGTGTTTGGATGACAACGTTGAGCTGGATTGAAGATTTAAAAAAATACCATTTCCTNACCAACATATCATGAAGTTTATCACTTGTTGAACTTTAGTGTTTAAAATTTTAATTTCATCAATTTAATCCTCAAAATTCGCACTTTTAACTAAAGCGATCATTTGTACTAACTACTATTCAAATCATGGACATAAAAAGATTCAACACCCTTAGGGTGGGTTTGGATGACAACGTTGAGCTGGATTGAAGATCTAAAAAAATATCATTTCTTNTAAAAAAATACCATTTCCTATCCAACTCAGACCCGCCTATCAAATGGATTAGTTAAGATTTAATGACTATATCCTATCATTTCCAATGTTTAGATGACGCGTACGCACTGCTGTAGACATGTGGAGAAGAGTGATAAAATGTTGTACCATTGACTATTTTATCCCTAGCCTATCCAATTCAACATTANGACCCGCCTATCAAATGGATTAGTTAAGATTTAATGACTATATCCTATCATTTCCAATGTTTAGATGACGCGTACGCACTGCTATAGACATGTGGAGAAGAGTGATAAAATGTTGTACCGTTGACTATTTTATCCCTAGCTTATCCAATTCAACATCATGTTTGGTTTCTAAATTATTATTTGACCAATTTCAAATAAATTTTTCTTACACATATTCTAGACAAGTGCTCATATATTATAAGAACTATTGAGAATTAACTCAAACTCTCATTAATTAGTTATTTAATTATTTATTGTTAATTAATCTTAGTCCAAATAAGATAATTACTTTATTAGGTAAATTACACCAATGGTCCCTAAGGTTTAACATTCATTGCACTTTGGTCTTCGAAATTTTAATTTCGTCAATTTAATCCTCAATGTTTACACATTCAACTAATGTGGTCCTTGTCACTTACTGCTGTCCAAAAAGTGACGAAAAATATCATGTGTTTGGCGCATGAGAATATTGATAGGCATTTTTGTCATTGCAGTTTCAAAATATTGGGCATAAATAAGAAAATAAAATAATCTCACAAAAATAAATAGAGAGTAATACTATTGAGACATAATTTAGGGATATAAAGAGTTGTCATCAATGAAATGATAATGAATTCATTTAATGTTACAATGAGATACATCATTAAATTTATTTTACTCTCATTTCATTGGTGACAACTCATTATGTCTCTTTAAATAAATTACATTACCCTCCCCCAGTGTCAGCCCTAATACCAGAAAACACCCCTACCAAAAATAGCTTCCGATAACACAGTCAGCAACAATATTGACTCTCTCTCTGTGCAAGACTCCACCGCAGGAATCCATTTTCGACCTCTGGTATCCATTGCCACCATCCACCCTCTAAAAGGCTCAATCTAACCCCTCCTCTTCTCTCTCTCTCTCTCTCTCTCTCTCTCTTTATACTCGGTTTCATCACCATCATTCGCTGTGCTTGGATCTACCAGTTCTCCCGCAGTACCAGGCGTTCCTCTCAAGGGCGGATCTACTGGTGGGCTAAAGCCCGGAGTAAAAAAAAAAAAAATTTCCATTGAGTACCAGCCCATCCCAAAAAAAAAAAAAATTTCGTCCAACCCAACCCAACCCAACCCAGCCCACCTGCAAACTTCCCCAAAACAGTCGGTCACTTCCCCCAAAACCAACATGTCCCGCTTGATAAACGGCATGATATGGAGCTTCCCGTGATTGCCGAAAATCGGATCCTCAGCGTCGTAATCGGCCGGAGTTTGAATGGCTGCCCGGAAAATTTTCAGCAGGAAACAGCCATCAACAATCATCAGCTTCAAGAACCCTTCTTTGTCACTTTGCCACTTAGGATCAAGTGAATCATATGAATCTTTCAACTCTTTTTCCACTTTGGCGAAACTTGAACTTCTGCTCTATTCTCAAGAAAATGAGGAGAGAACGCTTCTTGTGAGACTCCATTGGTTTCAAAGGAGGCTCACCGTGGTGGTAAGGGCCGAATGAGACTGCATGAGGACTGTACACATTCTTGTTTAGATCTGCAATGAAGGTTGGTACTTTGTAGATGGACCGTTTCTTAAACGGCTCCATCTCTGTTGAGACATTGCCCTGCTTTATGAGTTCGAGGTCACCTTTGAATTGGGTATTAAGAAGTTTCCCTTTATTGGTTCAGCTGTTTCAAATCAAAAGTCAGGTGGAACTTGCTCTGGGTACTGGGTCTTGTGGGTTTGATTCTTTGATCCCCAGGTAAGAAAAAGTTGAAATTTTTATTTTTAGTATATGTAAAGTTGTTGTGTTTGTTTATGAATATGATTTTTGTGGATTGATTGGCTTCTAAGTTTGGGTGTCTGCTTTTCATGGTTGTTTAATTTCCTTTTGGAGGTGATAAGAAAGTGATAGGATTGTTTGGGCATGTTTTGTGCTTTCTCTTTCCCGTATGTGTACAAATTATCTTATTTTTTTGTGGTTAGTTTGATTGATACAAGCTATAAATGCTATGCAATTCAATTTTTCAGTTTCTGTCACATGGTTAGCTCTGTGTGATGCACACACTTGCGTAGGTGAATCGAATGATTGAGGAGAAGCTAGGATAAACGGTGAACATGGTATCCAAATTTATAGAGCTAAAAAAATCCTTGCTGGTATTACTATGCAGAATTCACAAGTTTTAAAATTAGATAAAATTAGTTTTGGTAATGAAATGTGTGAGGCCTAGAAATATCTATATGTTTGAATATGTTATAATGTTTAGTGTAGTGTTGGGTCCTTCAATCTTGTTTCTCTAATTTTCAACCCTTCTCTATTTTATTAGGATGGAAAATCAAGAACGAAAAAGAGTAAAAATAATTTTTTCGTTCTTCAAAAAGAAAAGTGGAAAAGAAATATCAAATTCTAGTCTTGAACCTTTGAGTCTAGTAGAAACAACAACAAGTGTTGATGTTCGTATGATTCCTGCAGCTGTTGAACCTCAACCTTAAACAAAAGTTCTAAGCAATCGATACAGATTCAATAATAGATGTCTTTTGTTCTACGAAGGATTGAAGAGGCCAATTTCATTAGTATGTATTTATGAGTTTACATTTGTATTATTAAATATATGTTTATGAGTTTACATTTATATTTTATTAGTCGTATGAATGTTTAACTTAGCCCGGAATAAAAAAAAATCTTGGCTCCGCCCTTGGTTCCTCTACTCAACCTCCTTCGACAAACAAATGCCTTAAGAAAAAGATCCTCAAATCTTTGCCCAAGCTCACCTACGCCTCCAGTGAGGATGACGCTAGAAAATTTTCTGATTGCACGATTTGCTTGATGGAATTTGTTGCTAGAGATGAAATCTGAGTGTTGCCACAGTGCGGACACGGATTCCATGTAGGAAGTGCTATTGTTTTGGGATTAATTTTGTGACGACGACGGNTCTCTCTCTCTCTCTCTCTCTCTCTCTTTATACTCGGTTTCATCACCAGCATTCGCTGTGCTTGGATCTACCAGTTCTCCCGCAGTACCAGGCGTTCCTCTCAAGGGCGGATCTACTGGTGGGCTAAAGCCCGGAGTTAAAAAAAAGAAAAATTCCCACTGAGTACCAGCCCACCCCAAAAAAAAAAAAAATTTCGTCCAACCCAACCCAACCCAGCCCACCTGCAAACTTCCCCAAAACAGTCGGTCACTTCCCCCAAAACCAACATGTCCCGCTTGATAAACGGCATGATATGGAGCTTCCCGTGATTGCCGAAAATCGGATCCTCAGCGTCGTAATCGGCCGGAGTTTGAATGGCTGCCCGGAAAATTTTCAGCAGGAAACGGCCATCAACAATCATCAGCTTCAAGAACCCTTCTTTGTCACTTTGCCACTTAGGATCAAGTGAATCATATGAATCTTTCAACTCTTTTTCCACTTTGGCGAAACTTGAACTTCTGCTCTATTCTCAAGAAAATGAGGAGAGAACGCTTCTTGTGAGACTCCATTGGTTTCAAAGGAGGCTCACCGTGGTGGTAAGGGCCGAATGAGACTGCATGAGGACTGTACACATTCTTGTTTAGATCTGCAATGAAGGTTGGTACTTTGTAGATGGACCGTTTCTTAAACGGCTCCATCTCTGTTGAGACATTGCCCTGCTTTATGAGTTCGAGGTCACCTTTGAATTGGGTATTAAGAAGTTTCTCTTTATTGGTTCAGCTGTTTCAAATCAAAAGTCAGGTGGAACTTGCTCTGGGTACTGGGTCTTGTGGGTTTGATTCTTTGATCCCCAGGTAAGAAAAAGTTGAAATTTTTATTTTTAGTATATGTAAAGTTGTTGTGTTTGTTTATGAATATGATTTTTGTGGATTGATTGGCTTCTAAGTTTGGGTGTCTGCTTTTCATGATTGTTTAATTTCCTTTTGGAGGTGATAAGAAAGTGATAGGATTGTTTGGGCATGTTTTGTGCTTTCTCTTTCCCGTATGTGTACAAATTATCTTATTTTTTTGTGGTTAGTTTGATTGATACAAGCTATAAATGCTATGCAATTCAAATTTTCAGTTTCTGTCACATGGTTAGCTCTGTGTGATGCACACACTTGCGTAGGTGAATCGAATGATTGAGGAGAAGCTAGGATAAACGGTGAACATGGTATCCAAATTTATAGAGCTAAAAAAATCCTTGCTGGTATTACTATGCAGAATTCACAAGTTTTAAAATTAGATAAAATTAGATTTGGTAATGAAATGTGTGAGGCCTAGAAATATCTATATGTTTGAATATGTTATAATGTTTAGTGTAGTGTTGGGTTCTTCAATCTTGTTTCTCTAATTTTCAACCCTTCTCTACTTTATTAGGATAAAAAATCAAGAACGAAAAAGAGCAAAAATAATTTTTTCGTTCTTCAAAAAGAAAAGTGGAAAAGAAATATCAAATTCTAGTTTTGAACCTTTGAGTCTAGTAGAAACAACAACAAGTGTTGATATTCGTATGATTCTTGCGGCTATTGAACCTCAACCTCAAACAAAAGTTCTAAGCAATCGATACATATTCAATAATAGATGTTGATGGGTTAAGCCCAAGTAGTCCAATTTATGTATTAAAGCCCAACCCCGGTTGAGGAGCCCAACCTCATCGTGAATCCACCAAGCCAAAGGAGCCCAAGGCCGGTTAGACTTCTTGCTTAGCACGTCACCAAGAGGAGAGCACGGGAAGTTTATCTGCACCGCCTTAAGGAGCCCAAGGTCGGTTAGACTTCTTGCTTAGCACGTCACCAAGAGGAGAGCACGGGAAGTTTATCTGCACCGCCTTAAGGAGCCCAAGGTCGGTTAGACTTCTTGCTTAGCACGTCACCAAGAGGAGAGCACGGGAAGTTTATCTGCACCGCCTTAAGGAGCCCAAGGTCGGTTAGACTTCTTGCTTAGCACGTCACCAAGAGGAGAGCACGGGAAGTTTATCTGCACCGCCTTAAGGAGCCCAAGGTCGGTTAGACTTCTTGCTTAGCACGTCACCAAGAGGAGAGCACGGGAAGTTTATCTGCACCGCCTTAAGGAGCCCAAGGTCGGTTAGACTTCTTGCTTAGCACGTCACCAAGAGGAGAGCACGGGAAGTTTATCTGCACCGCCTTAAGGAGCCCAAGGTCGGTTAGACTTCTTGCTTAGCACGTCACCAAGAGGAGAGCACGGGAAGTTTATCTGCACCGCCTTAAGGAGCCCAAGGCCGGCTAGACTTCT